TCACCTAAAAAATCCACTGCGCAGGCTCAAAGGGTTAATGACCTTTCCCAAATCTTCGCTCGCGAAGACTGGCCATACCTTCTACCTTCAAATTTCTGGGGCTTTCCACCAGAGGACTGCACATGATCCACAGTGTTGCATCAGACTGTGTAAAACTCCCTCCCCTGAGGGGAGGTATCTGGGTGTTCCACCTGAACCTGGGTGTATATTAACCCACTGAAATTCGTGTTTCGGGGCTTTCCACACCTCTGATGGCTCAAGACTGTGACCATCACTCCAAACAACAAACATCTAAATTGCAACAATCAAGCCTCATGACTGGATTCACGGGTGGTGGTATCTTTCTACTCTTATCCTTTCTTTATCTTTCTTTTCCTTATACATTTTCTGAAGTGTTACTTTTATGCTTTTATATTATTATATTTCTATAGATAATAATGACCCAAAGAGCTACATTCCTGCTTCCTACTGCAACCAAATTATTCTCAAATAAATCCTACATATATATATATATTTATAAACACCGATAATTCAGTGTCATTTCACTCTAATCTACCTCAAGTGATCTATTAATAAGAACCTGAGTTACCCTCACCTTCAGGGGTGGTTGTAACAGCCTAGCAACAAAAAGTTGTGTCCAACTCCATGAGGAGTGCAGCAAGTCATACCTCTCCTGGCCAAAACTAAGAATGGTTGGGTGCTAGTCGTGTGTTATCACACTATTTCAGTTCCTGATTTGGACTTCTTTGCTTCATTTATCCATGTATTGCCCTAATGCTTTGTCTCAAATGGAACCGCTTGGTCTGTGCTATGTGGGCTGTGTGGTAAAGACACAGAGAGAGAAAGAAGGGTGGTCTCATCTGGTACTATCAAAATACAACAGTGAAGGTTAAAAAACCAGCTGAGTACCATGTTATTCAGGTGAAAGTAGACTTATCCATAGGATGATGGATGTATTGAAGGCCAAATATCGAGTCAGTAAAGGAAACACACATTTTCCTGTTGGTGGAGGTTGCTGACTGCCAATGAACAACTTTTCAAAACAGTATGAACATGAGTTACCTCCTGATACCCATGTCTTGGCAATGGTGAAATGTACCATCCCTGTACAGAACTTTTTAACTTGTAAGTTTACTTTTAAAATGATTTTTTATTTTGAGAAGCTGGTATTGTCTCACATAAAATAGAAAGAGGGGGCAATACAATGAAACATTTAATTTGAACCAAAGCACTTGTGAGGTGTGACTCATAATATGCGTGTTAATCAGCTAATAATACACAATTCACACCTTCACTTCCCACTTTTCAGCCTTGACCTCATTGACCTCAGTTTTCTCATTGACTTCCTTGCAACTGGTCAGGCTGAGAGTTTGCTGTTAGAAAAGCTTGTGTACAAACTTGTAACTTCCACTGTTTGAACATAGGCAAAAAAGTAGAGAATGTAATTGTGAAAAGCAAGTCTGGTTTCTTTTCTGTAACTATTGTAGAATTAACTGATGTTTTTAATTTATTTTTATGAATGTAATTATAAACTGATATCTCAGACTGAAAGCTGCTTTTATGTTATATACAAGTAGCTACAAAGGCAATTTCGCTGGCTTCTATGTTTAATCATTTGCATTTATACTCATTACTGCATACATATGGCAGAACTGAAGCATAGAACTGTATTTCTAAGGCAACAGTAATTTTTTCAGACACTAATTAAGCCTATTAAAAGTACAGATCTGCTCACGCTCTCATTCACAGAATAAAGGCAGCAAAGCAGACAACTTGGCACGTTGGATAGGAAATTATTATATTTTTATGTCATACATTTGCAAATATGTCTTCTTGAACTACTCAAGGCCAAATTCTATGAGACTTTCTTGGACTGGACAACTGGGAAATTGAGAGAGAGCCGTGGCTGTAGTGATGGCTCAGCTGTGCAGATGACCTTGGCTTTACAAGCTCCCTCAGCTCCACAGACCCTTTGAGTCCTGTATTTGTTCCAGGCACTCTTACCTCATCATATCCTTCATGGCTGCGTGAGAATACTTTCCCCCAAAGAAGCCACAAAAGAGTTCAAGAAGGGTTTTAACTTTCCTTTTGGTGAGTGACACAGCAGCCAAGAGCTGCTGACTTCACAAGGTCCATCAAAAACACAGGCTTGCAAGTTGCACAGCGACGGTAGCTGTAGGTACTGGTGTGCTGTTCCCAGAGGCTCTCCCAGCCCTGAAGAACTGGAATGTCATTAATAGCCCACTGTTATTTTTTGGTGAGGCGCTGAACTGCTGGCTGCATCTATATTTAGTGGTGGTGTAACTTAAATCAAAGCCCTGACGTTATTAGCAGCAGCATGGACATTTAATTGGATTTAAGAAACACACTCCAGGCCAGCCTCTCTTCTCAGTTACACCTGGGCAGCTCTGCTAGGACAGATGGGTTTGTCTTCTGGTTTTCAGAGTTGAGTTTGACCAAATATGTGTCTAAATGGTGATATTCCATTAATCTCCATGCAAACTCAGATTTTAAAAATGCACTCTCAATTTACATTGGGGCACAGTAGTGGGCACTGTGGCCTGTGGACTTGAACTGTGTATCCAAAATGTAGGCTTACAGGATCATAGGATAATTCAGGTTAGAAGGGAACTGAGGAGGTCTCTAGTCCAGCCTCCTGATCAAAGCAAGGTTGTATCTGAGGTCAGACCAGTTTGCTCACAGCTTTATCCTGTCTTTGAAAACCTCCAAGGACGGAGGTACATCCTCCCTGGGTAACTGTTCTCCTGCTGGACCATCCCTGTGAAAAAGCTCCTGCTCGTTTCCAGCCTATCTTTTCACATCTTGTGCCTATTTTCTCTCGTCCTCCCATCATGGAATTCTGTGAAGCATCCAGCTCCATCATTTTGATGAACTCCTCGTGGTGCTAGGAAGCCTATAATTCACACTAATCCCAAAGGGCAGCTGGGGATTGCATCTAGATTCTCTTTACCTCAAAAGGTTGGACTTGCTCTCCTCGAGTTTACTCCTACTCTCTTTGATTCCAAGTGATTTCTTCCCGAATGTCCTGTCAAAGGTTGGGCAGAACTGCTGTGGAGGTGGAGACCTGCTTCCAAGTGGGACTCTGTGGGACTCCTGAAGGAATATTTTCAGTGTTCCTATATATGCTTCTCCTTTGAGATGTCTTTTAGGCCTTTTGGGGCTAATTTAAGTGCCCCAAGCACAAACAGATTTTGAGGATTCACTTTGACATGATCTTTCCCAGCTGAAACTGGAATGAGAACTTGGGAATGACGGTCTCAGTTCAGCAAAGCCTTTAAGATGCTCCAAATTGCTTTGCAGGGCCGGAGAAGGCTGAATTATCCACTTTAATCCAAAACCTTTATTTAAACACTTCACCAGCATGTGCTCTAAACCCATGGACTGTGAGCATGCAGGCTGTGTCATAATGTGGGTTTTTTCTTATGTCATATGATAAGGAAAAAAAAGGTATTGCTTTTTAAATTTAGATCACTGTTTTTAGAACAGACCACATTATAGAAGGGTTTTTTTTGCTATGGAAGTGTCAACTCATTACATAGATAAGAACATCAATCTGTTTACGACTTTTTCTCTGACAAATATAACAAGAATTTCCTGCTATCTTGGAAATTAGTGATCTTCTTTGGCCTGAGATTCAGTTATGTTGACCTCCCTGTCATAACCCTGCCTATATTTCCAAAGTGTATGTTTTTCCCTGTCACAGAAGCACAGAGACAGAACTAGCTTTACACAGTTCATGAGGGGAAAAAAAAAGAAAAAAAAGATGCTGTTGTGACAGAACAGATGCTGTATAGAAAGGATTGCTTACAGATACATTGTAAGTTAATCACATCTTTTCTAAAGTATATAGAAAAATTCTCGTTAATGTCTGAAATGAAATACTTATTATTACAGGAAATTAAATTACTTACAACATTTTTTTTCACAGCCTCTCACTCTCAATACACACTCCTTTTTGCATACACATACACACACACATAACTATTGTTAATTAAGACTGTCTCCATTATGGAGCTAATTAACAATTAGCATAAACATAATTAGCTAATGCTGACATTTAACTCATTACATTGTTTAAATAATTTTCAGAAATTGCCCTTAGTGGCATTCTGTCATACTGAAATAATGGCAGCACTTTGTCATGTAAATTAAATGACATTTGTGTTGTTTCCTCTCTAACTCATGCATGGAAGAATCCTTTTTTTAATTTGAACTACATTCAGTTCAGAATCCAAGGTGATTCCTAAAACTTGAGCTACAGCATGTGCTCCTTGCATACCCTGCATAAGTAGCCTTGGTGACCTGCATCCTTTTCCTTCTGGAAGCCCTCTTGATCTCTCTTTCCTGAGCGCTCCCCACAGGTGATTCCAACCCTCTAGTTTGTCCTTGTGAGATCCCACCAGGAGTCCAGCTCTGGGGTCCTCAGCATAGGAAAAACATGGACCTGTTGAAGTGAGTCCAGAGGAGGGCTGGAGCACCTCTGTAATGGAGACAGGCTGAGAGAGAGGGAGTTGTTCAGCCTGGAGAAGTGAAGCCTCCAGAGAGACCTTATTTTGGCCTTCCAGTACTTAAAGAGGGCCTATAAGACAGTGGAGGACAGACTTTTTAGGAAGGTCTGCTGTGATAGGTCAAGGGGTAATGGTATAAAACAAAGGAGGGTAGATACAGAATAGATATAAAGAAAAAATATTATGATGAGGGTGGTGAAACATTGGAAAAGGTTGCTCAGAGAGGTGATGGATGCCCCGTCCTTGGAAACATTCATGGTCAGACTGGATTGGGCTCCGAGCAACCTGGTCTAGTGGAGATTGTCCCTGGTCACCGCAGGAGTTGGACTAGATGGTAGTTAAAGGTCTCTTCCAACACAAACAATTCCACGATTCCATGATCTGTGGGCAAAGAGCTCCATGTGCTCTGTGACTCAGCTCCCTGTCTGAGGGCCAGAGGAGTGGCATGAGGGTACAAACCTTTAGTGACAC